TTAAGGCAAAGAGAAGAGTTGGCAGACTTATTGAAAATTCAAGTTACGAATAAAGTTAAATACTTGGGGATAATTTTGACGTCAAGATGTACTACACTGAAAGAGAATAATTATATTAAACTTAAACAGCAGATAGCATCTGACTTGAAAAAATGGGAAAATCTACAATTATCTTTGATAGGTAGAATCTCAACAATTAAAATGAATATTTTACCCAGAATTTTATATTTGTTTCAAACAATACCAATTAGGCTTGGTAAAGACTATTTTGATGAATTAAATAAAATGGTGTTGAAGTATATATGGCAAGGTAAGAAAGCGAGAATAAAACTAAAACTTTTACAGGATGCTAGAATTAGAGGAGGATTTGGCCTTCCTAATTGGGAGTTGTATTATCAAGCTGCAAATTTAATGTGGGTTAAAGAATGGATAACGTTAAGAAAGTCTAGATTACTGGCATTGGAAGGACATGATTTATTATTGGGTTGGCATGCTTTTTTATGGTATAAGGGAACTAAATCGCAGGGTTATTTCAGAAGGCACTATATACGGGAATCGTTATGGTTGAATTGGGAGAAAATTAAGAAACAATGTTATTTGAAAATTCCAGTTTGGTTATCAACTATTGAAGCTTTTTCCTATCCCATAATTTATAAGAAGGAACAAACAGTTAGATATGGGGAAATACTGGATGAAAAGGGTGAACTTAAAACGATGCAAAAGCTAGAAGAACAAGATATAAAGATGAATTGGTTTTCATATGCGCAAATACACTCAAGGTATCTTAAAGATTCTAAAACAGAAGGATTTTATGATAAATTGACTGATTTAGATGGGATTTTGACAGGTGCTGATGAAAAAGTGATTAAAAAACTATATAGTTATTTGTTGGAAATTAAATTAGAGGAAGAACAAGTCAAAGAAACAATGATTGTTTGGGGGAAGAACTTTGGATATGGGATTGATTTAGAAAAATGGCAAAAATTGTGGTCTCAAAATTATAAAATGACAATGTCAGTAGCATATAAAGAAAATTTGTATAAGATGTTTTACAGGTGGCATTTTCCCCCGACAAGAATAGCAAGAATGTTCAAGAATAAATCCGAAAAGTGTTGGAAATGTCATCAGATCCCTGGCTCATATTACCATATGTGGTGGACTTGTGAGGAGGCCAGGAAATACTGGACTAGAATTCGCATATGGTTGGAAGAAATGACAAAAAAACATATAGATTTGAAACCAGAGATTTTTCTATTGGGAATCTTACCTGATACATTTAATAAAAACTTAAAGTATTTGATTGTAAATGTGTTGACAGCGGCTAGGATTGTATTTGCTAGAAATTGGAAGAATGAGAAAATACCATTAGAGGAAGAAATTATTAAGAAAATATTGGAATGTGCTGAAATGAGTAGATTGACATTTGAAATTAGAGAACAAGAAGATAAACAATTCTATGAAGTTTGGGATCTTTTTTATCAATGGTTAGATAAAACAATATAATAATAGAATATATATATATTTTGGTTTTGATAATATTTTTAGAATATTATATTAAGATAGATTTGGTATGATTTTACGATTTGTTATAAATTAACTAAATTATAGTTATCTCGCTTAAGCATGAATTAGTTAAATTATAGTCAAATGATTGTTTAATAAGGATATTAGGATATATAATTGTTGATTGATAATATGAGTTATTATGTAACATAATTATTATGATGACTATGAAATAGATGCACAAAAAGGAGTGATAAACCAACCGATACACTGTCTGTAAATTTATGAAGAATGATGATGTTTTTATGTTATGTTTTATGTTTTATGTGTTTTTATTTGTTGTTAAAATCAATAAAACTTTTATTAAAAAAAAAAAAAAAAAGGTTGGGGATACCGGGCCACGGCATAAAAAAGGTTGGGGATCACTGTACTAATCTACAAAAAAACAGATGGCACACTAAGACACACTGTATACTAGAAGAAATGCTTCTATCTAGTTATGCAGGTGTCCAGAGATACCTGTGCAATAAAGTAGAATTAGTTCACCTGGTCCTGTTTCCTATTTGCGTTATCTGGGGTGACTGACAATGATGTTCTGAAAAAAGCACAACTGCCTGTGCTCACAATATGTGATGTCATAAACCAGGGGTGTCAAACTCAAGGCCTGGAAGCCATATCCGGCCTGCGGGGTGCTTAGATCTGACCCGCAGGGTTGACCTGGAAACAGTGAAGGACTGGCCCGTGGTGCCTCTGCCAGCGAAAATGCCCGTTGCCCTCCCGAGCTTCATTTTCGCTGGTGGAGGGTTGCAGGAGGCCATCACAGCTGAAAATGGAGGTGAGGAGCACTTGGGCTGCCACAGGTGCCCCCAACACGAGTGATGTCCAGCTGGCCCCCTGGCCCCTGGACCTCCTGAGGTCAAACACAACTCTGATGCGGCTCTCAATGAAATTGAGTTTGACACTCCTGTCATAAACTATGGTTACAAATAGTTGAATTCAAAGAAATGTGATCTCCCAAGAAGCAATCTATAGCCTGATTTCATATGTCCGTGATGGTGAACCTATGGCATGCGTGCCACAGGTGGCATGCAGAGCCATTTGTGCCGGCACGTGAGCCAGAGGAAAATAATACTGGAAGTGACGAAATGGGCCTATTCGGCCTGCAGAGGCTTTTTTCAAGCCTCTGGGAGGCCGAAAAAGGCCTCAAACCAACCAAAAATCAACTGTGAGGCGCAGTGCAGGTAAGGGAGGGGCGGGTGGTGGTGGCGGCGGGGATTGCACATGCATGTGCAGGGGTGGGGGGCACACATTGCCTTCTGGGTGCTGGCACGTGATGCGTGCGCATCAGTACGCACACAATTTTTGGCATAGGAGCCCAAAAAGGTTAGCCATCACTGTCATATGTCATTAGAATCCATCTATTGTATTTTGCTGTGATATCTGCATGGTGTTTGGGTTTAGCTGACAAATGATATTTATTGGTAGGCACATTTGATTTTAATGACAATCACTTAAAAGGTGACAATGTGAAATGTATACAAATACAGTAACTAAGGGAAGGATCTCACATGTCTTTAAAAGGCAAAGGATGCAATTTGCTTTGGTGTTCATGATGAACTCTATGATTGATGAGTGGGGGATGAAATCAACCATTTTTGTAGTCCTTCCTCCTGGGCTAGTCTAAGGCCTTTTACAAGCCATTGGTCACCTTATTGTTGCATAACTAAAAATATTCTCCGGATCCTGATTCTTATTAAATGGATCAATGCAAACGTTGATGTTTGTAAGAATGGCATCAGCACCTGCTATGTCTTTTCTCTGTAATCAACCAGAGTTTTTGATATTGCAGAGGTGATGTTTCTTATTATAATTAGTCACACCTTGGTTGTCTTATTCCTGATTCTCCAGACCTTTTCCCCAATGATTGCCTTCAGTATAAACAACAAATTTAGGAACAGTATAACTTGTGCCAGAAAGTCTGGGTGGTTTAATGCCTTATAAGCCATATACTGCTCAGCAGGTTGGATAAGAACAAATGACTCAAATGACTCCAACTATGGTCTTGCAAATTATTCTTCTGCTCTTGCCCTACATGATTTACGGGGCACTGAAGCTGAAATGTCTCTTGAATTTGAAACCAGATAAAATAAAGCCACCAAATTTCTACGGACCAGGAGACATTCTCATCAGCGGTGTTGCTTCTGTCTACAAAATTTATGAGGGTTTCTTCCTGTTTGACTCGGCTCCCATAGCTAATCCTATTTTGTAAGTTCCTATGTCTTACCCAGAGGCACAGCCTCTCTATTTCTTGTGTGTGAGAGATTGTGCAGCAAGATTGTCATGGAAGAAAGGTCAGATACAAACAACCAAGTTGTATGAGGGGAGTCCATTGGTAACTCATCTCATAAAGGGTAACTTAGACCAGGTGGCAAGAAACCTGGGAAGAAACCACACAAAATGTTCCACGTGTCTCCATTTTAATTAATTCATGGTTAAAGAACGGTTGGAAATCCTTTTTGTACTTCCCAAAGTTCTGTATTTACCCTTCATGCAAGTATTAAAAACCTTTTACTGAATGTTTTCACAGTACAGTAATTGTGTTGCTTCCTTGATTTTGGGGAAGAATATTCCTAAGATTAAAATGCTACATGTATTCCTTAATTGGGGACTCTGTCCCCTTATCAGATTCCCTTTGATCCTCCAGAAGTCCAGGCTAGAAAAGTAGACTTCAGCTAAATGAAAGGATTACTTCCTCAGAAGAAAATGAGGCACTTTATCCTGAGTGCCTTCCACAGATTTATCATATTTCATATGTAGGTTCTGTACTGAGGGTTGGAATGCACTAAAAGATTGATTTATCATCATTTAGATAGAAGGGAGGATATATAAGTGCCTTCCATTCTTGTTGCCTCTAATGTGCTCTTCCACTAAAAGGGTTTCAGAGGTTGGGTTACTCCAAAATGAACTAGAAGCAATTTTACTGTATAATTCAACACTGAGTGTGATGCTCCTCAGTTTGGAAAGAAACACAAATACAAGTTGGGAAAGAAAGCAGTGGTAGATGTAAGCATCTATTCTGAGGGGCAAGGCTGTTTAATAGAAGCTTTCTAGGTTTTTAGCAAATGTACTACTGGGCAAGGTGGGGGATTAGATTAGCCAATTTACTGCTGGGAAAGGGTGAGGAGAAGAATGACTTTGAGTCTCCTTGTTCTTGGTTGCCAGACTCCAAAGGTCTTAGGATCAAGTTTCCTGAAACAGTGACTGTTCCTAGGTAGGTCTTCCCCTCTGGTAAAGGTATTATGTTGCCTGGAAACAATTAGATATACTTGTAGGGAGAGAAAATGACATTTGTAAAGCAATACCCTTGAAAACAAGACCCAGAAGTTTTTTTTTTTTGATAAGTATTTATTATTATCCTTACAATCAAAGGAGAATCTTTTAAATATATTTTTCTGATGGAATGCAGAATGAAACTGTGATGTAACTGTATTTTCAGAATGGACAACTCAGAACATTGGAAAGTCTTGTCCTTCCTTTTTGCCCTTAAGGAGATTAACCAGAATCCCCAAATCTTACCCAACGTCACTCTGGGTTACGCTATCCACGAAAGCGGTTCCAGCAGAAAAGGGACTGCAAAGGCTTTGCTGGACCTGCTTTCAAAGGGAGAGGCAGATGTTCCAAATTATAGCTGTGGAAAGAGGAAAAACACGCTGGGGGTCCTTGAAGGAGCTGATGCAGACATGTCCATCGATATCTCAAATTTGTTGAATCCCTACAAGATCCCACAGGTAGATCACAGGTGTGACTGCATGGCCATTTGAAAGGGGAAAGGTTCCCAGTCGCCCTGATTTGCACCAAAAGTTGGGGCAGAAGGTTAAAGATCTGTTTTTGGCTGCGATGGCTTCCTGCAGCCCTCTGCCAGCAAAAACAGAGCTCAAAAGGGCCAACATGTGGTCCTCCCAAGCTCTGTTTTCACTGGCAGAGGCACCGTGGGCCAGTCCTTTGTTGTTTCCGGTGCCAGATCTAAGCACCTCACAGGATGGACCATGGACCTTGAATTTGACACTCCTGGCATAGAATGTAGTTTTATTACATAAATAGTATTGTATAGAAATAATGAATTGTACTACCACTGAGAAGACAGAGCAATAAATGTTCTAACTGGCTAGATTTAATCATATGTTAGAAGTTGACCTAGTTTTACACCAACATTTATGGATACTTTAAGTACACATAGATACACACACACACACTATAAATATGGTCATCAACCAATCAATCAATCAATCTGGCAGCTAAAAAGACCAAAGGAGTATCTTGCCTGACACATATCAGGACTAGTAGTTTTATTCAGAATCTTGGCAACCAATATTTTGGTTCTTAACTGAGAGAAAATGTTAACATTTTGCCTTCATTTCAGGTCCGTTACAATTACCCTTCCCTGGTTTTGAGGGACAAAAAACATTTCCCTTTTTTTTACTCAACTTTTCCCACAGAAACAAATGAGTATCTAGCGATCATCAAAATCCTCCAATATTTCAAGTGGACATTGATTGGACTCATTGCTGCAGATACCGAAAATGGAGAAAAATTTCTAAGACTCTTCACACCCATACTTGACCAGAATGGTATTTGCATTGTTTTCACAGAAACTGTGTCAGATAATGTCATGTTCCATCATAAGGATAAAGAAGTTGGGCTTTTCAACAAATGGAATCAAGTCAACATCTTAATTTATCATGCTGAGGTTACAAGTTTTACAAAAGGATTTTCAGGTGTATTACATTTCCTGATGAGGAAGGGGGGATATATTGAAGATAAAGTTTGGATCATAACATCTATCTGGGACCTCACCTTCCGGATGTCATTGATTCCAAAGTTCAAGAACAAAAGCTATAGGATCTTTTCTTTACTTAGTCGCACAAATAAAAAAATAAATTGTGATCATCTTGCACAACTTGAGTCTTTTACTGAGAGATTTGTAGGTCAAGTATATTTGTGTTCCTATTCAAAGCATGCCCTGTCCGTGAAAGGCTGGGAAAGGTGCACAGAGAAAGAAAAATGGAGGCCAATGTCTCAAGAGTTGAGGGAAAGGATTCTGTCCCTGGATGGCTACCACATTTACAACACCATCCGGACAGTTGCACATGCTTTACATGCAGCCTATTCTCTCCAGTCCCAGAGAAGGGCCACAAAGAATGGAAACAGATCAAGAGTTCAACGACTGCAGCCTTGGCAGGTACTTTGCTTTTCCATCACAAAGATTTTTCCTGAACAGGAGAATCCTCTCTCCTATGTCTTAATTATGGAGATTTCCCTTAAATAAATAATTATGTTTAACTTGGTTTTTACCTGATTTCATGAGGAAGATAATTATATGGTGTTCATAGTCATGTTCACCTGGCAGAGCTTCTATAGCTAGCAAATAAATCAATACAAGAATTTGTGTAGTTTCTGACTAACGTAAATATAAATATAATAATATAAATGAAATGAGGAGGTACAATCATATCCTTTAATGAGCCCCATTTTGATAAACCTTCCTTTTGTGCCCTATCTCAGAAAATTGCAGCCTAGTGGCTGAAATAACCATTTTATCACTTGACCTGTTGCCAGGTATCTGAATAGATTATCTGGAAATTTTGAGAGACTTTGATTTGTTGAATATAGCAGTTTCTTTTCATTTTCCTTTTTACCCCCTTGAATTATACATAACATTAAAACTACATCACTTTGGGTTGGGAGGGAGGGACTGGTGCAGTCACGCACCAGTCCATTGCTGGTAGTGGAACAAGTAGTTGGCTTTCCCACCTCTGGGTCCAATGGTTTCTCTTCTAGTTCTGAATTTGCAGCTAAACTACCACAGGAATATGACTTAATAATATTTTTTTCTCCTGTTCCCATGACGTTCTTTTCATTGAATCCTCAGTCTACAAGTGGGAAAGTTTTAAGCCATGTTCAGCTATATTGGTGTTAAAGTAGCCTTGCCATCTTCATTCTGAAACCATCTGATGGCAGTTTCCACATGTCTGAAATCTATTAGGCTGGGTCATCCATGACTTGCCTGAAGGGAAGTCAAGTTATTGGGAAATGACTGAGAGGAGAGACAAATACCAGACTAGCATTGTTTTATTCCAAATCAAGAATGAATCAGAAGATCTTCAGCTCAGCTCTGGAGAATTGTCCCTGTCCTTAGCCCTTTGACTAAATTCCTGAATTACAGGAAGGTCATCTGTAAATTTGGGAGAATTTAGAATCTTGTTCCTGTTCTCTGCCATTAACTCATTTCAGTTGGCTTTTTTAGCTTCACCCTTTCCTGAGTATCGCTCAGCATTACAATAATTCCATAGAGGGAGTCTATTTGGACGAGAAAGGGAACCTGGCAGCTGACTTCGACATCATGTACTGGGTGAGGTTTCCCAATTGGTCTATTTACAAAATGAACGTCGGGATTCTGGAAAGAGAAGGATGCTCAGAAGACACATTCAAATTCAGAATGGACCAGAATGCCATCAGAAGGGCTGTGCAGGTCGATGAGGTGGGGAAGATAATTTCTTTCAGTTCCACATATTGATTGTCTTGTTTAAAATCTGTGGCATTTTCCCAACCGAACCTCCCAACTGTGTATCACAAGGACCCTGTTAGGGATAACATTGTTTACCCTAACTGGTTTGGGTAAAAATAATAAATATGGTATCATGGTTTGTTAGTTAAAGTGTATGTAACTTTAACAGCAAGAATGTAATTAAGGGTGTGGTTGTAAAAGCACTATATAAGAAGCGAGGCAATTGCAGCTCTCTCTCTCTGGCTTACTGATCCCTAATTACTGGATGGATTGATGACTGCGTTCTTGCTGGAACGGGGAGAGAAAAAGGAGTGTTGATTTTTCTCAACGGAGAGAAGATAAAGATTGGACTGATTTATTGTAAGTGAACTGACATTGGCTATTCAACACGGACTTTGCAAATAGAGTATCCCCGACAAGACTTGACTGAAATTGATATATGACTAATGGACCGTTACAATTTACTATGCTATAATTCTTAAATGGAATAAACTATATTTTTGATAGCACAAGCGTATCTGTATTTTTACTGCGTGTTAACTAGAAAACTTATCTCACACATTTACCTGTCTTCCTATCTGACTTCGCTGTACATTCTGTTTAGTTTGTTTTCCTTAACACCCGTTGGGGAAAACAGGCATGGAATTCGGGGATCCATTTGGGCTTATGTTTGTTGTAGGAAATGGCAGACCCAGAGACATTCAGCATGGCTCTTTGCTGGCCCTTGAGACATTCCTGCCCCCAAAGTGTGTGCCACGGGGCTTCACTACATCCTTTGTCAGATGATGCCCACAAGACAGTCACAGAAATTAATTTGTCCATTTTCTCTTGTGTCTCATTTGGTTCTGCAAGTTTAGACTCAACAAATTGGGCGAGCAGGTTTATTTATTTATTGAATTTATTTATTTATTGAATTTATACTGCCGCCTATTTGCCCATGGCGACTTGAGGCAGCTTACAGAATGTAAAACCATATTTAAAATAAAAAACAATAAAAACTAACAAAAAGAATCTAATAAATTAATAAAGTACTTCCATTTTAGGTCTCCTTTTCTAAGGACATCAGCTCCACCTATTTCAGTGAATGCTCTTTTTCTTCTAACTTTAGCCCCTGCCAACTTCTCGGTGTGTGGACAGTTGCCGGCCTGGATTTGTCAGGCTGCTGGATCCCTTGAAGCCAGCTTGCTGTTACAGTTGTGTTCCTTGTGCAGAAGGGACCATCTCCACTGAAGAAGGTAGGTGACTCCAGAGAAAAATGTCCACATCTTATTTTTTAATATCTATAAATATTTCTACCTCTTTGATTAGTTCTTAGCTTATCTCACATTTTTATTTTTCCACAATTAGCAAGCAAGGGAGTACAGAATGCAGAATAATAGAGTCAGAAGGGCTTTTGAGGTCTTCTAGTTCAATTCCCTGTTCATACCCTGTTTCCCTGAAAATATGACCTGCCCTGAAAGTAAGTTCTAGCTTGATTTTTACACATGTGCCCAATATAAAACCTACCCCCAACACAAGCCCTAATTAAGATCCTGCACACTCCAGAGTGCACGGGTAAAAATTAAGCTAGGATAGGGATGGGGTGTGTGAGTGTGTGGAGCTGCCTTACTATTTACCTTTGGACAGTTGTAGCCAGGCTTTGCACACCACGACACCTGCCTTGCCGGCCCATTTCTTCTGCAGCCAGCAAGGCTGGCAAGGCATTCCTAAAGGCCTCTGTAGCTGATAACAGAGTCCCAGATCTATCTGGAGCTCTGTTATTAGCTGCAGAGGCCTTTAGGAAAGCCTTGCTAGCCTCAGAAGAAGAAGTTCCTGAAGGCCTCTGACAGCGAAAAGCAGGCCGGGGGTGACAAAGCACAAGTGAGATTAGTCAGTGGATGACATCCTCTGAAAATAAGACCTGGTGGCTTTTTTTTTTGAAAATTTTTTATTGATTTTTTTTAAAAAAAAAACATAAACAAACAACACATAAAACATAAAAACATAAAACATCTTTTTTGAAAGCAGCTTGATCCCAGGTTACATCTCTTCAAATTCAAATTCAAATTCATGTTCATTTTATATACCATTCCATATCTTGTTACCATTCTACATTTTCTATATAGCTTCTCCCCTCTTTTAAATTTCTTAATTTTATTTATTTCATCTCAGTTCAGATCATTATACTTATATTCTTTGTCTGTCCTGTTTCCAGCTGTCTATTATCTTTTCTCATTAAACAAAATTTCTCCTGTAATCACTGATTGGAGTATGACGCCTTTATATCTTTCCCCTAAATTTATAACACTTAATATAATACATAACTTCCATTTGGATTCTGCTTAGTACATTCTAAAATTACACACTATATTTTAAAAAGAGTAAAAATTGTAAATATATAATATAATTAAAACCACAAATCCATGTCAATTCAACTCTATTGTTAATATTAATATTCATTTAAATCTTAAACATTTTACACATTACTTTTCATATAAGTATCATACTTCTGTGGGAACACATATAAACTTTCCATAGTTGCTTATTTTAAAACATTATATCATTGAGGTGTTCCAATTCCTTCCTAATTCAATTCTCTCATTTATTTCATTTCATTTATTTTGTTCATAAAAGTTTCACTGAGTTACACTGAGTATTTTATCCCACTTTTTAGTCTTATGTTATTTCCAATCTTCTAACATAATTTCTAATACAAATATAACAATACAATCTTATGTACCTCTGCAGAATCACCTTTTCAATTAGATTTTTACCCATTATCTCTAAATAAATCCTGTTTCTTTACATCTTGTTTCACACCTTTGTAGCTTCTCTTCCCTTCCTTCCTCCCTTGTTTTTTCTCTCTGCCCTTTTTACCCCCTTGTCTCTCCACCTCCATTTCCCTCTTCTGTGTTCCTTTTTTCTGTTGCTTTCTAGCCTTATATCCACTTTGCACCTTATTTTTCCCTTTTTTGATTGTTTTTTGGGGTCTTAAAGGCTCCATTCTCTTTCCCCCCTTTCCCCCTTCTTCCCTAATTGAAGTTACTTGTTCATCAAAGATGGCTTCTTCTTTGTCCCAACCTTCTTGTTGCGCAGTCAGTTTCTCATAGGTACAAATCGCCATTTCTAAGAAGTGAAAAACAGAGCCAAAAGAGCCCTTCCCTTCTTGTTCCTCTTCTTTAAAGTTTTTGAATTCCATTTTCTTTTTTCTTTTCTTTTTTTTTTTAAAACAAGTTTTATTAATTTTTAAAACACACAAATTGTCATTATTCATTACATGTTTAAACCTTTTTTCATTGTCAATTTAACAAGTCAGATAAATTATAATTCTGTTTTAAACCATTTCCATACAACATACCAAAACCTCTTATTCAATTTCTCTTTACTTCTCTTTACTCTTATTCAATATCATTATTATTATTTCATCTGTTTCTTTCTGACTTAGTTACCATTATTCTCAATCTATATTTCTACAATTTTTAACTAATTCTCCCCCCAAAAAGACATATACACACAACACACAAAACATAAAAAAAATCTTTTTGGAAAGTAACTTGGACCCAGGTATCTCTCTCTTCATGGACTTCAATTATATTCATGCTCATCTTACATATCATTACTTATTTTATTTACCATTCTAAGCCTTCTATATTAACTTCCCCACATATTTCACACTTCTTACTTCTATCTTAATTAATCATCTTAATTTGAATCATTATATTTATATCTTTTGTCCATTTTTTATCATCCCTTTGTCTCATTCCTTATAAAAAAAAAGAAAATAAGTTTCTCCTGAAATCATTAATCAGAGTATGATGCCTTTCTATCTCCCCCCTAATAATCAAATTAATCTTTAAAATAATATCTAATACCCAATCCGATTTTGCTTGGTACATTCTATCTAACTAATACATCCAACATAATTAAGTACATAATTAGACAATAAATCCAAATATTAAAAAAAGATACTATAATAAAAATTTTATAATAACATCAATACCATAGTCTTATTAAACTCTTTAATTAAAACAATATTCTAAACCTCCCCTATTATTAAGTTTTAAAGCCAATCATTTTTAAACATTTTAACATTTTAATCTCTTATCAACTCTTAAATCATTACAATACTACCATCTCATCTTATGTACCTTGCAAAATCTTTTTTTAAAAAAAAAAAATTATACTTTATCCATTATCCAAAAAAAATTTCTTTTTTTCATTTAATTTCAAAACATTGTAGCTTTTCTCCACCTTTTCCCTTTCTTTCTTCTCCCAACCAACCTTTCTACCCCCCCTTCTTCTAGCCTCTGCCTTGCCAGCTTCCCTTCTCTGTTGTATTCCTTTTCCCTTTTATTTACTATCATCATATTGGTTTTGCACCTTATTTTTCCCTTTCTTAAATGTTTTTTTAGATCTTAAGTCCTTAAGTCCTTTAATTTTCTTCTTTTCTCTTCTTTTCTTTTCTTTCTCTCTTCCTTCTTTCTGGATCAAGTTCTGAGATTCATTAAAAATGGCTCCTTTCTTTCTTTCTTTCTTTCTTGTTCCTCTGCTGTCTTCATCTGTTGTAATGTTTGTTGATAATTAATAAGCGCCATTTCTAAGAAAAGGAAAGCTTCTTCCACACCATCTTTACCATTTTTTTTTGCTTGTTCATATTCTTTTCTTAGTTCCTCAACAGAAAGAGCCATTATAAATCTTTTCTTTTCTTTTCCCCTTCTTTCTTCTTACAACAACCAGAATATTCAAAAGAAAATAAAAAAATAAAACAGTCCCAAAGTTATCAGTCAGTCCAAACCAAGGCAGAGTTCTCACTTTCTCCTTCTGGGGTAATATCAATCCAAGAGAAAGAAAGTCCAAATCTGTTTAAAATCTTATTGCAATATATTCTAGTCTTCAAATCCTTAAGGCATCTGCTCCAACAAAGTCTTAGCATACAAATGTTTTCTTTTTAATCCTCTCTCTTCCCACTCATCGCTTAAAACCAATTTTCACCTAAAAGAAATAGGTTTCTTAATATCCAGTTATTTATTCCGTAGGAAAAGAGGGAAAGCTATCCTTTCAGCACCTTCAAACAGCCGCTTTTTTCCTCTTCTGGAAGGTATTATTCAGAAAGTCATACTTTTCAGGAATTTTATTAGATATGTCTTAGAGTCCTAGGAGCCAAGAAAAACTTTCTCCTCTCAATCACTTTCTCCACTTCCTCCTGCACATTCTTACCCGGCTGCCAGCTTCTTTGTGGCGGCCATTGCAGACCGCCGCTGCACCGTCCTGGGAAAAGGGAGTTCTGCCGGCCAGGGAGGGAGTCTGCAGCACCCCCAAACCCTTCTCCGGATCCCCCCTACCTTCAGCTGCCCCTGCAGGGCAGCCTAGCTCCGTACCCAGCTGGGTCGGAGCCCCAAAAACGGCTAGCGCGGCAGGGATCGCGCAGCTTCGCAAATCCCTGCCGCTCGCGAAGCCGACAAACCGGAAGTCCCCTGAATTCCATTTTCAATTCATCCACAAGCGATGCCATTGTAAAAAAATTTTTTTTTTCAAACAACCACCCAAGTGTTTTTAATCATTTAGATATAATTTCCAAGAGTCCCAAAGTCACCAAGCAATCCAAATACACACAAACTGTTTCTTTTATCACTTCCTTCTTTTTTAACTTTCTCTTCCTGGGGCTATTTAGTTACAAAGTTCCAGTTAAGATGTATCTTTTAGAAGTCTTGTTAGAATTTAATCAGATTCTTGTAAATTCCAGGGAGTCTCCTCCTTCCAAATCTTATTTTTATTCTTTTCCTCTCCCTTCCCACTTACAGCAAGAAGATTTTTTTTTTTAATGTTCAGAAATCCTTATTGTCCCCTTGACATTTAATTATCCAGTTTAAATACCTCTTAATGCCAAAGCGGGTTTTTCCGATTTTTCATGTTCGCTATCAACGTAAGAAAGGAGAGTGAAAAGAAAAACTTTCCCTTTTAACTTTCATTTGCCGCTTCCCAGTCTTCTTAGGGAGCGATGTATCTTTTACAAAATTTAAATTCCAGGGTACCTTAGTTGTTGCTTTTGTCCCAGTCAGCCAAAAACTTTCACTTCTTAACTTCCTCCTGCACTTTCTTTTCCGGCTGAGTGCTTCCTTGAGGCAGCCATTTCTGACCGCCGCTCTTACCGCCTTCGGAAAAGGGAGTTTAGCCAGCTGGGGTGGGGGGGGGAGAGGTGCGATTCCTCTCGACCCTGCCAGATCTCCCCTGTCTTCACCAACCTCTATGGGGTGGCTTAGCCCCGAAGCCGGGTGGCTCGGGGCACTCCAGCGGCGAGCGCAGGCAGAAACTGCGCACGATCGCAGATTCCTACCTGCCCCAAAGCGCTACAAACCGGAAATCCAACCTGGTGGCTTTTTTGGTGGCAAAAAAAATAAGGCAGGGTCTCATTTTCAGGGAAACATAATATTTCATTGTGAGAACAATTAATCAATGGAATGGAATTGCCTCAATAAGTTTTGGGTATTCCATCACTGGAGGTTTTAAAGAAGGGATTGGGCAGTCATGTGTCCAAAATGGTATAGGGTCTCCTGCTTGAATAGGAAATGAGATTATATGACCTCCAGGGTCCCTTCCAACTTAGTTATTCTGTTATTCTGCTGTAAAAGATATGTCTGATGTCTGAAGATATCTTTTTGTCATTGTTTAATTGATACATTTATAGTGACTATGGGTAGTGTCTGGAATAAAAATAACATCCTAGGTCAGGGGTGGGCAAACTTTTTGGCTCGGGGGCCTCATTGACTTTTAAAATTTGACAGACGGTCCGCCACCTGGTGTCAAAATGCCTGTCATTACAAGTCAAAATCAAATGAATGCAATCATTCAATCATTCACATCAAACCTTAATTCTGTACCAATCTTCGGCGGGCTGGATTAAAAAGACCAACGGGCCGGATGTGGCCCACGGGCCGTAGTTTGCCCACCCCTGTCCTAGGTAATACATTCATTGAGATTCTGCCCAACAATGACATTTGAAGTTTATCCCACAGCAAATCCTTTTTTTACATCATTCTACATCTTAACATAATTCTTCTGAAACAGTACACAATTCATATTAGTCAGTGTCACCTTGAAATACTTAACCTTCTTGTCAATACTGAAACCAGTCGTATTTTTTTTACCTTGAGGATTGTTTTATTGAACAAACATCTTCATTTTTTGCTTGTTTATTTTAAATCCAACGTCTTTTAATTTTTTCATTAAGCAAACTCTACAGCCTGAGGTTCCTGTAAAGTCAAAATTGGTTCATCTTTAAAAACTCTTAGTTTATAAATCTATTTGAATTTAAAAACCTATGATTTTCTCATCCTTTTTAATGACTCAAATCAAGGCTTCTAAAAGAGAGATGTGAATAAAAATCACAAAAGGATTTCTGAACAGTTTCACTGTCTAATAGGGATATTTCCGGATGTAAAATTTTAATTTGGTGCCAAATACTATAATCGGTGGGTGCTTTCTGTAAATTCTCATTTTCCTGGATTTTTTCTTTGAATTTCCTTTTCCACTTCTGATTATATTGAATAAAATAACCTCTCATGACAGCTTTGCTGGCATCCCAAATCCAAATTCATGCAAAAAAAAAAATCACTTAATTTTGTTTTAAAAACTTTCACAGCTCCTTCGGTTAGCAATTTTGCTTCAATTAATCTCCATCGGAAAGTGGTAAATTTGCTTTTCGGTATTAGGTTAATTGTTTTATGATCTGAAAAAGTTTTATCTAGAATGTTTCAAAGACATTTGCAGATCAAATATTAAACAGGAGATGAATATTTCAATGTAAAGAGCAGAAATCTCAATAGACATGGAAATTAATCAAGGAGAAAAGCAACCCAGAAGTAAGGAGACATTTCCTGACAGTGAGAAAAATCAACCAGTAGAATAGTTTGCTTTGAAGTTGTAGGTGTTCCAACACTGGAAGTCTTTAAGAAGAAAGACAATCATTTGTCTGAAATGGTATAGGGCAGTGGTGGCAAATCTTTTCGGCACTTAGTGCTGAAATGGGAGTGCGCGCATGCGTGCACCAGAAACTGAAAGAGCAGCTGCCTTGTTTGCCATGCAGGATTGCCAAAAACCAGAAGCTCAGCTTCCCAGCATATGCATGAGTGTCGATCACTTGGTCTTCCAGTTTCTAACACGCTGGGAAGCTGGTCTTCCAGTTTCTGGCACTCCCGCGCATGCGAACACTAGCTGGCTGGAGAGCGCCTGAGCGCCGGGGAGCTGCTTTTCCAGTTTCCAGTGCTCCCGTGCATGTGAAGACCAGCTGGCCAGTACACATGCACGTGCCGGAACCCAGAAGAACAATGGGCGATGGCTAGCGTCAGGGGCGGGATTCAATTTTTTAAATAACCTGTTCTGTGGGCGTGGCTTAGTTGGCGGGCATGGCTTGGGGGTCATGTTATTGGCTGGGCATGGCCAACTCAATATCACTCACATTGAGGCACACTTCTCCTCGCCTGGCCTCTCATGACTGTGGGGATGCTGCAACAGTCGTAAGTGTGAAAAATGGTCATAAGTCACTTTTTTCAGTGCCATTGTAACTTTGAATGGTCACTCCACACAAGCAAAGTACCAGCAAAGGAGGGGAAAAAAAACTCCAGAGAAGTTCCAGAGACAGGAAGTCTAGTCCTGCCAAGAATGTAATAAGGGTTAATGGAGAGGCAGTTTCTGTAAGCAACACCAGAATGTTTCCTTCCTGCTTTCCTTACAGGATTAGGCCAGTAATTTCTTCTAACAACCGGTTCTCTGAACTGCTTAGAATGTTAACAACTGGTTCTAGCGAATAGGTGCAAACTGGTAGAATCCCACCCCTGGCTAGCATGCCTGGAGAGATGGCTCTGTGTGGCACTTCCAGCATGCGTGGCATAGGTTCACCATCACAGGTATAGGGTTTCCTGCCTGAGCAGGTGGTTGAACTAGAAAACCTGCAAGGTCCCATCCAACTCTATTATTCTGTTACTCTGATGTAGTATTTTGTGAAATCTGAGTCAATGGTAAATAGATTTAATCCGTTTTTACTTGGTGGAGAAAATTGCCTTTCTTATAAATGACACAGGTCATAAATCCAATCCTCAATATGTGAAACAAAAGTAGTTTTTCAATATGTCCAAATCATTCTCTTAGTAATTCACCATGCTGAGTGTAATCTGAGTTTCTCAAAACTGTACAATTCCACATTTTCGGAATGTAATTCAAGATAAAGCTAACTGCTTTAAGCAGGGGTGGGCTGCTGGGGGCTTGCAGGGGCTTGGGTGATCCCTTAGTTAAGACTCTGCATGGCTCAGCAAGCCCCCATAAACTCAGAAAGACAAGCAGCCACACTAGAATAATAAACCGACACCTTTTATCCACTTTTTACCTTTCCCTCAGGCAGCAAGGGAAAGCTCTTAATAGGCTTAATTGAATTTCTGGGTGTTCAGCCAAGAGCACTTAACACCTCGTAAAAGTGTTGCAAGCTAGATCAACAATCCACTCAGTGCTTGCCAAGGGAGACCCATTGAGAAAATCAGATAACATAGCCACTAGAAACTCCCTGCCTCTGAGGGGATTAATTCCCCAAAAATAAGAACCATGTAACTCACCTGAAACTCCCTGGGATGCCCCGATGGGACTATCTCCCAAAATAGAAACTGGACAAAAGAAGTACCTCTTGAGGCAGGAAGGGAAGCTCAGATATCAAAAACAAAGAAGGAACCATTAGTTTGTATTGCCATTAGTTTGTCTTGTCCCAGAGTGGAAAAAAAAACGTATAAAATTGCAACTCAGAAACCCAGACCTTCACCTTGCAAGACAGGAATGCTGAAGTCACTTTGCTGTCACTGTATTGCCTTCCTGCAATAAAATCTGCATTGTGATAGCTCGCTGTCTCTAAACCTTTTATCATCGACTTCTCCCAGCTGGAACAGACCTGGAAATACTTCCAACACTCTAACATGGAGGCAGAGCTTCCTCCTACCTTTAATGGGCCATCATCAAGGACTGAGCCAGCCTTTTGTTCTTGCAAAGCTTCCATAATGGGCTTTTAGTTTTAAATATTTTTGTGAAGTAGTGGCAGGGAGCAACTTTACCAGTTTTTGTCAGATTTAACAGATTGGAAGATTTAACAGATTTAACAGAGCTGGAAGAGACGTTGGAGGCCATCTAGTCCAACCCCCCACCCAAGCAGGAGACACTACACCATTTCTGACAAATGGCAGTCCAATCTTTTCTTGAAAGTCTCAAGTGATGAGATTCCCGCAACTTCCAAAGGCAACCATTGGTTGAAAGCTGTTCCTCTCTGTCAGAAAGTTTCTCCTTATTTCCAGGTTGAATCTCTCCTTGTTCAGTTTCTACCCATTGTTCCTTGTCTGGCCTTCAGATGCTTTGGAAAATAGCTCGTCCCCTTCCTCTCTGTGACAGCCCCTCAAATATTGGAAGACTGCTATCATGTCTCCCCTGGTCCTTCTCTTCACCTGTTTTAGTCTCCAGTATCCTAATTGCTCTCCTCTGCACTTTTTCTAGAGTCTCAACATCTTTTTTATAATGTGGTGACCAAAACTAGTACTCTAAGTGTGGTCTTACTAAGGCTTTAGTTCAAAGGGTGATATTAGTACCTCACTTGATCTTGATTGTATCTCTCTGTTAATGCAATTTAGGATTGCATTAGTTTTTTTGGCTGCCTCTGCACACTGCTGGCTCATATTTAGCTGGTTGTCCACTAAGACTCCAAGATTCGTCTCACATTTACTGCTATTAAGCCTGGTTTCACCCAGCCTTTTATTTAAGTATGGAATGCATGAAGTAATAAACAACTGTTTGGTATATATCTTTTTTTAGGTAATTAGGGCAAAGAAGCGACATTGAGTTGGCCAAACCCACCCAGTCACATGACCACCCATCCACGCCCACCCAATCATGTGACCACTCGATCACACGACCACCCATGACCATCACGTGACCACCCGCTCACATGACCACATGGCATGCCCACCCACCCGCATGCCCACCCATCCACGCCCATCCAGCCAGTCATTTGGGCAGAGAGCCCCTTGCTAAAAAATTTGAAGCCCACCCCTGGCTTTAACCACTCAAAGACTAGTTGTGTTCGTTCTTTGCAGATGCCAAACATTGTGTGAGATGTCCAGAGGACCAGCACCCCAACAAGGACCAAAATCAGTGCGTTCCTAAGGTGAAAACCTTCCTATCCTACACGGAAGATCTGGGGATCGTCCTTACTTCTTTCACCTTACTTTTCTCTTTCAGCACTGGCTTTACTTTCAGCATCTTTGTTAAGTACCTGGAAACTCCAGTAGTCAAAGCCAACAACCGAGACCTGTCCTACCTGCTCCTCATTTCCCTCCTGCTTTCCTTCCTGTCTTCCTTCCTCTTCATTGGCCAACCAAAGAAAACCACCTGCCTTCTGAGACAATCAGTCTTCAGCATCATTTTCTCAGTGGCTGTCTCTTCTCTCTTGGCCAAAACCATCATGGTGGTGCTGGCCTTCCTAGCCACCAAGCCAGGAAATACTGTGAGAAGATGGTTGGGGAAGTCTTTGGGCAACTCCATTGTCCTTTCTTGCTCTGCTGTCCAAGTTATGATCTGCACTATCTGGTTGGGCACCTCCCCCCCCTTTCCAGATTCAGATATGCATTCTCAGGCTGGAGAGATTGTCCTGCAGTGCAACGAAGGATCAGTCACCATGTTTTACACTGCACTTTGCTACATGGGCTTCCTGGCAGCTGTCTGCTTGGTGGTGGCATTCCTGGCCCGGAGGTTGCCTGGAGCCTTCAATGAAGCCAAGCTGATCACCTTCAGCATGCTGTTCTTCTGTAGTGTTTGGATCTCCTTTGTGCCCACCTACCTGAGCACCAAGGGCAAATATATGGTGGCCGTGCAGGTCTTCTCCATCTCAGTCTCCAGTGCTGGACTGCTGGGCTGCATCTTTTTCCCCAAGTGCTACATTATTCTTTTTCGACCTAATTTGAATACAAAGGAGCAGCTTATTCTGAAAAGCAAAACAGAAATATGATTTTAAATGTGTACAGATAAGAACTACCAGTTGACCCATTTGCTTATCTCTGTTCCTGAATAGAAACATTTTGATCAAACATGGTAATTTCGTAGCTTATCCAGTCTCTTTTATACTTACATTTTAAGTAACACCCAATTTGTTAAAAATAAAATCTTCATTAAAGGAGTAGTAGAATCAGAACTTCAGTTTACCCCATATACAAATATTCACACATACATAGAAATTAGTTAAAATAGGAAAGGAAAGAAATAATAATTAGGATTTCTGCAAAGTTAATATTTTGTGAGAAATTGGCCGTTGTTCTCTGACCGCATGTAGGTCTTTGATGTAGGTGGAATTTTCTGTGCTGTGACATCGGATTTCCTGGGTTCATTCTCCACTTGATACTTTCCCTGATGAAAAAGGAAGAGCTTGGGTTTAAGCAGCCTTAGCAGAAACAAGAAACAGACACCTTGTCATACTTCATACTCTACATTAATGACCTCTGTGATCATATTAAGAGCAACTGCGTTCTTTTCACTGATGATATAAAGCTGTTCAACACCACCGACAATACTGCTACCCTTCAAAAAGACCTTGACTATGTATCAGAATGGTCAAACAAATGGCAACTTCAAATCTCAACAAATAAATGCTCTGTCTTACATATTGGAAAAAAAATCAGAAAATAAAATACAACCTGAATAGTCAAGTGCTTGTTGATGATCCAAACTCTGTCAAGGACCTTGGAGTATTCATATCTAATGATCTAAGTGGTAGAGCCCACTGTAACCACATAGCCAAAACGGCATTAAGAGTTGTTAACCTAATCCTGTGTAGCTTTTTCTCAGGTAATATGAGACTACTAACTAGAGCATACAAAACTTTTGCGAGATCAATACTTGAATACAGCTCATCAGTCTGGAACCCGCATTACGTATCTGATATTAATACAGTGGAAAAAGTCCAGGAATATTTCACAAGAAGAGTCCTCCACTCCTCTACTCATTGCAGAATACCTTATGCCACCAGACTTGAAATTATAGACTTAGACAACCTAGAACTACGACACCTTTGGTCTGATTGAAGAATAGTACATAAAATTATACATTGAAATGTCCTACCTGTAAATGAATACTTCAGCTTCAACCGTAACAATACAAGAGCACACAATAGATACAAACTCAAGGTAAACCGCACCAAACTTGATTGCAGGAAATACGACTTCAGCAACAGAGTGGTCAGTGTCTGGAATACTCTACCTGACTCTGTGGTTTCTTCCCCAAACCCCAAAAACTTTAGACTGTGTACTATTGACCTCACCCCTTTCCTAAGAGGTCTGTAGGGGGTGTGCATAAGCGCACCAACGTGCCTACCGTCTCTGTCCTATTGTTTCTTTCTTTTTCTTATTCGTATCCATTTCATGTATTCCTAACTATGTTTATACTTATACCTTTATCTTATAATCACTTGACAAAATAAAATAAATAAATAAAATAAAAAATAAATAAAACCCCCTCTTTATTTACCTCTTGTGAATTAATTGCATTCACCTACTGAAAGTTCAGGCAAGAGTCCTGCAAGGAGTTAAGTGCAGCAGCTGACCTTATCAGTTCCTTACAATAATTGCAAGGCCGTGAGCTCCCAGATGAAAGGCTGCAAATTAAGTTCTGGCAAGCAGTCTTCCTTGCACAAAACACAATGAGCAAAATCTCCAGAAATATGAACTGTTGCTTTCCTACGACAACCACTCCCCTTTCCTTCTATTTATTCCCCAGCCACGGAGGGGCCATTCAGTGTCCAGGTTTGCTTTGGTTCCTGAGTCGGCTCCCTGTCTTTCGTTGTTCACCTCTCCTGACTGCTCTGCACATACGTGCATCTGCAACAGGCCCCAGCTGTTCTTCCTCCTCACTCATCTCAGCCTCCAAAGGCAGCTGCTTCACCAGTGGCTGGAAAATAGCAATAGCACTTATATAGTGCTTTATAGTGCTTTACAGCCCTCTCAAAATGGTTTACAGAGTCAGCATGTTGCCCCCAACAATTTGAGTCCTCATTTTACCCACCTCAGAAGGATGGAAGGCTGAAATGTTGGGTGGTCCTGGCTCTATCTCTGTGTCCAATGCTGAGCATCCATCAGAGCCTTCCCCAGGCTCCAAAACAGGACCAAATTCTTCCCCAATCTCCTCATCACCTGAGTCTGCCATCAGGTCTGCTGGTAGCTGGCATCTGGCTGTCATAAACCATTGATTTGTATTGTCTTCTCTACTGCTATGGTAAATTGATCCAATAAATGGAGTTCCTATGGTGAATGATGGCATATTGTTACACATGTGATGTTTATCCACTTTTTCATTGTTCAGATATCCATGCCCATGTAACAGCCATTTAAGCACATCTAAAAATACTACTGCCATGGGCCCACTTGGCATTTTCTGAAGTTCTTTTTTCTCACTACAACAAAAGATCAATGATATAGTGTAAGAAAGCTTACTCTATTGTTGCATAACTTAGAGAAGTTTCGAGGTCCTAATTCTTATTGAGATGGATCAATGAAAAAGTTGAGAGTTGTAATAATTGCATCAGCAAGTTTTCCAGCTGCGTTTTAGCCCATGAGATCACCCAGAACTTGGAACATTGCAGAGGGAATGATTCCTGTTATAATTAGTCCCATTTTGCTTGTCTTCTTGCCTATTTCCCCAATGAATGCCTTCAATGTAAAGAACAGAGTTATGAACAACATTATTTGATAACTTATTTCAGAAAGTCTGGGTGTTTTAATGCCACTAATGGATCTGAACGATGTGTCTGGGGAGAATTTATTTTCATCTCCTTCAAATACAAAATGTTGGCTTAGCTCTGGAATAAGGGAAATCATAGAAAATTTAGTCCTTGGTTATTCTTACACATATATGATAAGAAGAAATGATTCTACTCAACTTGCAAACTATGCTGGTTATTCTTCTGCTTTTGCCCCATATAATTTGTGGGGTGCTGAGGTTGAAATGTCCCTTGAATTTGAAACGGGAGAAAGTAAAGCTACTGAATTACTACAGACAAGGAGAGCATTTCATCAGTGGGATCACTAATTTCGAGATTGCTTATGATGTGTTATACTTTTCCTTTGACAGAGATATCATTGTTGATTGGATGTTGTAAGTCCCTCTGTCTGATAGAAGTATCCATTTCTTGTGTGTGTGAGATTGTGCTGTGAGATTATTACAGAAGAAAGGCAGGGGTAGGATTCTACCAGTTCGCACCTATTCGCTAGAACCGGTTGTTAACATTCTAAGCAGTTCGGAGAACCGGTTGTTAGAAGAAATTACTGGCCTAATCCTGTAAGAAAGGCAAGAAGGAAACATTCTGGTGTTGCTTACAAAAACTGCCTCTCCATTAACCCTTATTACATTCTTGGCAGGACTAGACTTTCTCCAGATGTCCAGACAAGAAAAATAGATTTCAGCCAAATGAAGGAATGTATTTCCTCCCAGTCAGAAGAGCCTTCGCCTGAGTGCTATCTGCAGGTTTATCATGTTGCATGTAGATTCTGCACCGAGGTGAAAATGCAGTAAATACATGGTTTATTCTTCTTGTGCCCAAATCTACTATTCTAGTCAGAAATTGAGGATAGGAGAGTCAAGAGAGTGGGGTAGACATAAGAGTCTCTTCTGAGTAGCAGGGCTTATTGTTTAAGTTAGAAAAGCATCAGCTTGGCAATGGGGTGGGTGGGTGGAGGATGATGCTGAGATTACTTGTTTTTGGTTTGTTAGATCCCAGGGTCTAATACTGACTGCTCCAATGTAGGTCTATTTGGTTCTTCCTCACCACAGAAGTTGTCCAGCTGCAGGTAAAGGCTTGGAAACGATTGAATATATTTGCAGAGAGACAAAATGACATTTTGGTGACTGCAAAACATCTCATTTGGGTTCTAAATCAGAGAAAGAAATACCTCAGAAATTAGACCCAAAGGTTTTTTTTTGATAAGTGTTTATTACTAGTACAATCCAAAGAGAAACTTGTAAACATGTTGTTCTGAGGGAATGTAGGGTGAAAATGTAATATACCTATGTTTCTAGAACAGGTTTAACAGAGTTCTGGAAAGCTCTGTCCTTCCATTTTGCCTTTGAGGAGATTAACCAAAATCCCCAAATCTTACCCAATGTCACCTTGGGCTACAATATTTATGATAATGGTGTCACCACAAAACGAACTTCGGAGGCTTTGTTGGATCTGCTATCAAAGGGAGAGGCAGATGTTCCAAATTATAGCTGTGGAAAGAGGCAAAACACTCTGGTGGTGCTTGAAGGAGTCAGTCCAGACATGTCCATCCATATCTCAAGTTTGCTGAATCTCTACAAGATCCCTCAGGTAGATCACAGGTGTGACTGTGCGGCCATTTGAAAGGGGAAAGGTTCCCAGTCGCCCTGATTTGCACCAAAAGTTGGGGCAGAAGGTTGAAGAATCTGAATTAGATGTGAATTACAAATATTGCAGATGGGCAGATATGTAAAAGGAAAGTATTTAGAAAACCCACAGATTCTTATTTTTTGCCTATTTTTTAATTTCTTTTGCTCCATTTTAAATTTAATCGTTTCCTATTTTGCTTTGTTTTTTATTTGCCAGGTATTAAACAATCCATATTCTTTTTCATATTCATATCTGTGTATATACATGCAAAGAGATACACAGAAACAAAAATAGTTATGTATAAATATCATGAAAAAACAATATGAAAATTACAGCAGCAAGTAATTTATCATAAGACCAAAACTAGTATTGTAAAATAAATACTGTTTAAGCGTTTAATTTAAATAATTGATTTAATAATTTAATTTAACTTTTAAAATATAAATTAAATGTCACTCATTTATTCTTCTTTTCAGGTGCGTTCCACTTTTCCTCCCCTGGTTTTGAGGGACAGAGAGCATTTCCCTTTCTTTTACTCCACTTTTCCCAGTGAAACAAACCCTTATCTAGGGATCATCAAAATCCTCCAGTATTTCAAGTGGACATTGACTGCCCTGCTTGCTGCAGATACCGAAAATGGAGAGAAATTTCTGAGATTCTTCACACCTATGCTTGACCAGAATGGTATTTGTGTTGTTTTTACAATGACCATTTCAGAATATAGGTTTGATTTTAAGGAGAAGGATGCTGGACTTTTATATAGAAAAGTTAAGATCTTTATTTACCATGCTGAGGTTCAAACCTTTGTGGATGGATTTTCAACTACACTAAATTTCCTGATGGACATGAAGGGATATGTTGTAGGGAAAGTTTGGATCATAACTTCTATTTGGGACCTCACTTGCCGTATTTCCTCAGTTACAAAGTTTAGAAACAAAAGCTACCGGATCTTTTCTTTTCTTAGTCGCACAGATAAAAAAATAAATTTTGACCAACAACTGGAGTCTTTTACTAAGGAAACTGTGGATGAAATCTATTCATGTTCCTATTCAAAGCATGTCTCATCCATGAAAGGCTGGACAAGGTGTAGAGAGAAAGAAAAACAGAGGCGTCTGTCTCAAGAGGAGAGGGGAAGGATTCTGTCCATGGACGGCTACCACATTTACCACACCGTCTGGACAGTTGCACATGCTTTACACGCAGTTTATGCTCTCCAGGCCCAGCAAAGGGCCACAAAGAATGGAAACCAATCAGGAGTTCAACGACTGCAGTCTTGGCAGGTACTTTTCCATCACAAAGATTCTTCTGAAGAAGAGAATCCAGTCTCCCATCCTGGAATTTTAGGCCTTTTATGAAGCCTTTGCATAAACCAATTATTAAATTTAATTTCCTTTTTATCCGATTGTATGATGCTGGGGAATTATATGTTGTTCAGATTTATCTTCAACTGGCAGAGCTTCTGCAATTTGCCAATAAATTAATAGAAGCACCTCTGACTTTCCTTTAAGAACCCCCACTTGGATAAGTCTCCATTTTTGAAAGCTGTCTCAGAAGATGCAGTCTAGTGTTTCAGTTTGGAAATTTGAAGAGCTTCCCCATCTCCTGGACCAACACCTTCTCTACTATTTTGCAACTAAGCTATCTGAGAAATATGCCCTTCTTTTTTCTCAACTGCTTCTTTCTGCCTTTTCCCATAATGTCTTCTTCCTCCTCAGTCCATGAGTGAGATGGTCGTAAGTCCTGTTCAGCTGCATAGGTGCTAAAGCAGCCTTGCATTCTTTATTCTGAAACCATCTGAGGGCATCTTCCAGGTGTCTGAAACCTATTTCTCTGGGTCACCCATGACCTGGAAGGGAAGTCAAGCCACTGGGAGATGACCGAGAGGAGAGACAAATACCAGACCAGCATTGGTTGGCTCCAGATCCAGGGTGGATGGGACACTCTTCAGATTTGTTCTGGGCAATTGTTCTTAGCCCCTCAACCAAACCTTGGTTACAGGGAAGACAGCTGTGGAATCAGGAGAGTTTAGATCTTCCAATCCCACTTTTCTATTTTCTTCAAGTGACTCATTTCTTTCTCTTTCTTATTTTAGCTTCACCCCTTCCTGCACGTCTCGCAGTATTACAATAATTCCATAGAGGGAGTCTATTTGGACGAGAAAGGGGACCTGGCAGCTGACTTTGACATCACATACTGGGTGAGGTTTCCCAATTGGTCTCTTTACAAAACGAACGTTGGGAGTCTGGAAAGAGAAGGATGCTCAGAAGGCAAATTCAAGTTCAGAATGGACCCAGATGCCATCAGAAGGGCCATACAGGTCGATGAGGTAGGGAATATATTTTCTTTCATTTGACGTATTGTATATTTTGTTTGAAATCTGTCCTTTCCCCCCCAACCTACCCTCTTAACTGTGTGCCAAAAGGAGCCCTTCAGCCATGAAATTCAGGGGTCCTTTTATGACTTGTTTGTTAAAGCCATGGCAGAACCAGAGATGTTCTGCATGGGTCTTTGGAGATTACTGAGACATTTCTGCCCCCAAAGCATTTATCAGGTGCTACAGGACAGGACATGGCGGCTTCAGTGAAATAAGTGTTGTACCTGATGATTCTTGACGAATGTATCTTCTTTTATGTACACTGAGAGCATTTGCACCGACAAATTCCTTGTGTGTCCAATCACACTTGGCCAATAAAGAATTCTATTAAGTCCTTCACCAACTGCATTGATGTTCATTATCATAGCCAACATCCCACTCAAGAAAACAGAACAAGAAAAAAAATACCTTCTTGACTATAGATGATTTCACAGACAGATTCAAGAAGAGTACAGAAGTATTCTTTTGCCTTTTTCCATTCAGTTCCTGATGAGAGCTAATCCTATCCAGCTTCTTCACATCAGCAAACTTTCTTAAATGCTGCTACTTAACTTGGCATAAAGAAATATATTGAGATGTCTTGCTGAATGTGAGCTACTTTAACCTCATTCTACATTTTTATGATAAAAAGGAAAACAAAACCCAAAGAACCAAGGAATAGGTTCTGTAAAAGAATCCTGCTCAAAACTTATTTCCACTTATATTTTACAGAAATCAAATATATGAATTCCAATGTTTTGCAAAATAGCTTGACCTCTTCCTCTCTGTGACAACCCCTCAAATATTGGAACACTGCTATCTTGTCTCCCCTGGTCCTTCTCTTCACTAGACTAGCCATGCCCAGTTCCTGTAACCGTTCTTCATATGTTTTAGCCTCCAGTCCCCTAATCCTCCTGGTTCCTCTTCTCTGAACTCTTTCTAAAGTCTCAACATCTTTTATATATTGTGGTGACCAAAACTGGATGCAGCCCTCTAGGTGTGGTATACTAAGGCTGTATAGAGTGGTATTAGTACCTCACTTGATCTTGACCGTATCCCTCTGTTAATGCAACGTAGGATTGCATTGCCTTTTTTGGCTGCTGTGCACATTGTTGGCTCATATTTTATTGATTGTCCACTAAGACTCCAAGATCCCTCTCACAGTCATTGCTATTAAGTCTGGTTTCACCCAGTCTATATGTGTACTTTTGGTTTTTCTTGCCTAAATGTAAGATTAAAGGCCTGTAGACTAAAACATATGAAGAACAGTTGGTGGAACTGGGTATGGCCAGTCTAGAGAAAAGAAGGACTAGGGGTGACATGATAGCAGTATTCCAGTACTTGAGGGGCTGCCACAAAGAGAAGGAGTGGGTCAACTTATTTTCTAAAGCACCAGAGGGCAGAAGAAGAAACAATGGATGGAAACTAATCAAGGAGAGAAGCAACCTGGAACCAAGGAGAAATTTCCTGCCCCTGAGAATTAACCAGTGGAACAGCTTGCCTTCTGCAGTTGAGACAAGTTGTCATTATCTTTGTTTTCCAGATATTAAGACTCAATCCTACTTTTTCACTTCCATCCTTGGTTTTCCAGTTTATTTTCTCCATGTTTCCTTATTTTTAGCCAATAATGTTTTTATCACATCCAAGTTTCGATTCCGCAAATCAAAACTTGGGGCAGTAGTTTGGTTTGGTCCTTCTGTTTTACCTCACATTTCCTAGGGACATCGGCTCCACCTATTTCACTGAATGCTCCTTTTCTTTATCTTCAGCCCCTGCCGAGCTCTCGGTGCGTGGATAGCTGCCTTCCTGGATTTGTCAGGCTGCTGGACCCCATGAAGGCAGTTTGCTGTTACCATTGTGTTCCTTGTGCAGAAGGGACCATCTCCACTCAGGAAGGTGGGTGACTTCAGAGAGATTAGTTGTATCCCTACATGGCTTGAGACCAAATTATCTGAAGGACCATCTCTTCCTTCACATAAACCTGATTGGGCAGGCAGGGAATGTTGCAGGTCCCCATTCCTAAGATGGTTCATCTGGTGGGATCTGATGGGATTCAGAAGAAGGACCTTCTCTGTGGTGGCTCTTTGGAACAAGTTCCCCACAGGATTAGACTGGCTCCCTCTGATACTCTTTTGCCAGGCCTTGAAGACCTTGTTTTAAGCCAATGGGCCTTGGAGAACCCAGAGTGGGATGGAGCCCACCAACTTATCTGATTGATTGTTGTCATCAGACAGGTGGGAGAGCTATTATTTTTATTGTTTGTATATTGGGTTTTTTGTTTTTGCAAGCCACCCAGAGACAATGAAAGTGAGAGTGGGGCCATATAAATTCAAACAAACAAGCAAACAAATCATAAATAATAAATATTTATAGGTTTTATAGAAATACCAAAAAATGCAGCATAACTCCCCCCAAAACCCAAATACAAAAAAATGCTAAAAATAAATACATAAATGTGAAGCCCATCATTATTAATAAAGAATAGGAAGGGAAAAATGAAGATATATAAAAATCTAGATGTTTCATCTCCACATTGAGCAATTCTTTAACATTTTTTTGGTTTGTGTATATATGTATGTATGTATGTGGGGGTGGGATTCAAATTTCTTAACAACTGGTTCTGTGGGCATGGCCTAATTTGTGGGCATGGCTTGGTGGTCACGTGACTGGCTGGGCATGGCTTATATGTAAATATTGTAAATATTTATGTAAATATTGAATTTTTTACTAAAAAAGAGCAATCTTTACACAAAATGAGGCAAAGCAGGCAGGCAGATTGAGTTGCTCATAGAATCACAGATTCACTCAGAGATCTACCTTTCTGCAATCTGCTGCCTGAGTCTGCACTGAGAAATAGAAGCTTCAGTCCTAAAGAAGGTTTAGCTCTGCCCTCGGGCCCCTTCCCCCCCCCCCCCCCCCCGAATACCACCCCTGACTGAGCCTCAGGGAAGCCTTTGGAGGTTCCCTGCAATGCTTCAGCGAAGGCAAAGAAGTACAACAGCAATTTAGATTAGTTAAAAAACAAGGAATCCCATGATTTCCTGGTTTCTAGCTAATCTAAATCACTCAGCACAGTTGATAATTGGAACAGCTGATGGTCGGGAAAAAAAGAAGGAAAAATAGCAACTTACCCAAAATTAGGCTAAGGCACAATGCAGGCAAGTTGGATGGTGCGCATGCCAGGTAAGGAGTGACTGGGCGGGGTGGGGCAGGGCCAGCCAGTGATGCAATTTGCTGGTTTTCCAAATTGTGTAGAATTGTAACAACCGGATCTATAGAAT